TATATTCCCTGTGCTTTACTTTATATCCCCTTGACTATTTTGCAAACTACCAATTTGTACTTCTTAACCCCTTCACCTATTTCATGTATCACTCCGATAAATCTAGTATCCATCTGACACATACATAGTTATTACAATATTATTGACTATTCCTTATGCTATATCCTACATCCCTATGACTACTGTGTAACAATCAATTTGTACTTCCTAATCCTCTCCCCTTTTTTAGTCCCCCTCCCATATGTCAACCATCAAAATGTTCTCTGTATGAGTTTGTTTATTCTTTAGATTCCACATATAAATGAAATTACATTGCAGCTTTCTTTGTCTGACATACTCTACTCAGTGCAACACCTTCCAGGTGCATCCATGCTGCTGCAGATGGCAAGAACCCATCCCCTTCCCTGGCTGGAGCAATTTTCCATTGTACATATGTACCATCTCTGTATCCATTCATCCACTGATGGACACCCAGGCTGCCTCCACATCTTGGCCATTGTAAACAGTGGTACAATGAACATATGGATACATAAGGCCCCTCAAAGTAGCATTTTGGGTTTCTTCAGTTAAATACCTAGAAGTGGGATTATTAGGTCCTTCTTTGCCTCTTGTTATAGCATTTGTTTTAAAGTCTTATTTTATAGACTTTAAAATGTCTGTACTTATATTATGGTATAAATATTGCTATCCCAGGTTTTTGTTTGTTTGCTTCCATTTTCTTGAAATATCTTTTCCCCATCCCTTTACTTTGTGTGTGTCTTTTGATCTGAAGTGAGTCTCTTCATATGTAAGAGTCTTGTGTAAGGGTCTTGTTTTCTTATTAATTCAGCCTCCCTATCTTTTGATTGAAGCATTAAATCTATTTACATTTACAGTAATTATTGATAGATATGTAGTTATTGCCATTTTATTTTGTTTTATTTTTTCGTCTTAAAGAAGTCCCTCTAAGATTCCTTGTAGTGCTGGTTTGGTGGTGATGAGCTCCTTTAGCTTTTTCTGGGAAGCTCTTTGTCTGTCCTTTGATTCTAAATGATAGCTTTGCTGGGTAGAGTAATCTTGGTTGTAGGTCCTTGTTTTTCATCACATTGAATATTTTGTGCCAGTCCGTTCTGGCCTGCAAAGTTTCTGTTGAGAAATCAGCTGATAGTCTTATGGGAGTTCCCTTGTAGGTAACTAACTGCTTTTCTCTTGCTGCTTTTTAGATTCTCTCTTTGTCTTTAACCTTTGGCTTTTTAATTATGATGTATCTTGGTGTGGGCCTCTTTGGGTTCATCTGATTTGGGACTCTCTATGCTTCCTGGGCTTATATATCTATTTCCTTCACCAGGTTAGGGAAGTTTTCTGTCATTATTTCTTCAACTAGGTTTTCAATTTCTTGTTCTCTCTATCTTCCTCTAGTACCTCTATGATGTGAATATTGGTAAGCTTGATGTTGTCCCAGAGGCCCTTTAAACTATCTTCATTTTTGGGGTTCTTTTTGCTGTTCTGATTGGGTGTTTTCTGCTACCTTCTAAATTGAATCCTCTGCTTCATCTTATCTACTCTTGATTCTCTCCAATGTATTCTGCATTTCAGTTATTGTATTCTTCATTTCTGACTGGCTCTTTTTATGTTTTCTATCTCCATTTTTATGTATCCAATCTCTTGAAGTTCTCCCTGAGATTATTGAGCATCCATGAACCAGTGTTTTGAACTCTGCATCTGGTAGATTACTTATGTCCATTTTGTTTAGTTCTTTTCCTGGAGCTTTGTTCTGTTCTTTTATTTGGGACATGTTTCTTTGTCTCCCCATTTTGGCGCCTCCCTGTGTTTGTTTCTATGTGTTAGGTAGGGCTGCTATGTCTCCCGGTCTTAGTAAAGTGGCCTTATGTAGTAGGTGTCCTGTGGGACCCAGTGGTGCAGTCTCCCTGGTCACCAGAGCTGGGTGCTCTAGGTGTTTCCCTTGTGTGGATTGTGTGTGCCCTCCTGTAGTTGAGCCTCGGTTGCTGTCTGCACATCAGTAGGAGGGATTGACCTTCAGGATGATTGGTTGTGAGGACTGGCCGTGACTACAGTGGAGGAGCTGTTGTGCAGGGGCTGACCCTACAGAGCAAGATTTGCTTTAGCAGGGCTCTGATGCCTGCCCAGTCTGCCCTTTAAGTGTCGTCCTTGAAGGCGGCTGAGTGATGCTCCACCTTGGTCCAAAGCTGGCCACCGTGAATGCCAGCCCCAGGACCCCCTGGGAGTGGACCCGCTGCAGACCAAGTTCAGCCGCAGCCTGTGCCCTACCTGGAGCCACCTGGCACAAGCCATAAAACAATCCGCAGATGGTCACCAATGCTCTGGGCTTGGAGGTACCTTAAGAGGCCAAGCTGCAAACTGAGGACACTGCCACTAGTGCCAGGCTTAGGACTGCTCAGCCAGAGGTACAGGACATGCTGAAGCCAGATGCTGCTCATTTGAGTTTTGTGAACCTTTGAGAGATTTTTAGGAAAGTCCACAGCATCAGCCAAGGCAGACTGTATACAGAAGCCATTGGAAGTGGCTTGGATGGGCCCACAAGTTGGGTGGGTTGGGGTCTCAGAATCACCAGGGCATGGTGAACGAAGGGTGTTAGCCAGATTGATAGAGACTCACATATGATGTCTGCCTGTGTCTGCATGCCGGGAGCCGGGAAGGCTCAACAAGGGAACAATGGCTTCTGCCAGCTTCTCCATGCAGGATAAAGCTGCCCTTCCAGCCTTCGCCCTGAAGCCAGACAACTCAGTGTTTCCCTGCATGTCCCTGGCACCTTTCGATCTGCTACCCCAGCACTGGAGCTCAGAGTGAGTGAGTCCATCAGCCAGTAAGTCAGTGCATGGATCCTTTAAGAGGATCACCTGGGACTGCAGCCACCCTCTGTTTCACTCAGCAACAGTCTCTGCTGGTTTTCACAGCCAAAATTTATGGGGATTTCACTCCCCGGGACTGGACCCCTGGGATGGGGCTGGGACCTCTTGCTCCTCTGGGCAGCAGTGGGGGGCGGGGTGGAGGGGACAGAATCTCCACAGCCAAGATATCCCTCCTGATTTTTAATGGTCACATGCAGGTGTGGGACCAACCCATTCCACATCTCTGCCCCTCTTATCAGTCTCAAGGTGGCTTCTTCTGTATGTCCTTAGTTGTAGGGCTTTAGTTCAGCAAGATTTCAGGCGATTCTCAATGTTCTGTAGTCTAGTTGTAATTTTGATGTGGTCGTGAGATGAGGGAAGCACAGCGTTGACCTACTGCGCCATCTTGACCCATGATCGTCTCAGAGTTTCTTATTGCTCCTGCATTGGTTTCTGTCCTCCCCTCCTCCTGTTCTTGCCCCCACTGCAAAGCTTTTCTCCCTATCAGCTCCTTTTGAAGGAAATTTAAAATACAGCATTAATATTGGTGGAGAGATAAGAAGATGTTTTGGTGGAACAAAAACAGAATACCATGAAAAAGGAACACTCAGAGGACAAAGGTCTTCGTATAGAAGAGTATAATAGCAGAAATGAAAAGCTCAGTAGATGGATTGGAGGATGAAGTTGAGGATATCTAGAAATTAGAGCATGAGGTAGAAAACAGAAGAGAAATGATACGAAAATGGGGAGACCAGTCCAGGTGCCTCAGCTCTAAATAATAGGCATTTCCAAAGCGAACAGAGAAGGTGGAAGACAGAAAATCGTGAGTGAAATAGTTCATGGGCATTTTTCAGAACTGAAGGTTATGACTTTTGAGATTGTAAGGGATTGCTCAGTGCCCAGCACAATGGATGAACACAGAGCCACACTAAAGGACATCATTGTAAAATTTTATAGTACTGGGGCCAAAGAAAAGATCTTACAAGCTTCAAGGCAGGAAGAAAAATAACAAGTTATGTTCAAAGGATTTCTCACTATTCGCACTGCAATCTAGAAACAGTGCCTTCAAAATCCTGGGAGAAGATGATATTCTACCCAGACTAAATAAACTTCCACATACATATATGGAAGTTTGGGAGAGGATACTGAGGGTATATGAGAGCTAATCCTCGTAGATCATAAGAGAAAGTAAATAGGCACTGTTTACACTGGATTAATTAAGAAATCGCATTAAAAGCACATAATATGGTAGACTACCAAAAGAAATAGCTGAAAAAACTAAAAGCGGTTGCGTTTAGGGAACTGGATGAAAGGGTTGGTGAGCAGGATTTGGTCGATGATTGCTGGTTTTCATTATGGACCTTTTGTTACCCTCTGATTTCTGAGTCTATCTACATGAATACATTTAACAAAAGTTTTAGATCTGATGCCTTACATTACTTTGTTAGGTTTATGGAAAGTCAAATGGAATAATTTATATGAAAAAGGTTTGTAAATTGTAAACTATTGTTCAGTGGAAAGTGATAATATGATCATATTGACTTAGAGGCAGAATACTGTTTCGACGGGCAGGTTGTTGAGTTGCATTTGGTAGATGTTACTGTCGTTTATCAGTTAACTGCTGCCGTAACAGTGCAGTCACACAACTTCAGCGGTCATCTTTGCTCATGAGTCCAGGGTCAGCTGTGGGTTTGATAACCTGAGCTGGCTCAGCTGATCTCACCTGGGGTTGGCCTTGTGTCTGAGCCAAGTAGTGCTTTGGCTGGTTGAGGGTGGCCTCTGCCACATAGCTGGTGGCTGGCTGGCTATCAGGAGCACCAGCTCTCTTCCACGTGTTCTGTCACCCTCCAGCCCACTGCCTGGCTGGGCCTGGTTTTATCCAAAGGAAAGTGGGCATGTACAAAGCCTCAAAGACCTAGGCTCACGACTGGCACAGTCACATCTGCCGCATTCTTTTGGCCAAAGCAAATCACAAAGTAGGGTTGGCACTGCACATGCACATTGAAAAGGACGGGTGGACAAATGGGCCATTTTTGCAATTCATCCAGCATAATCATTGAAGCTAAATATTTTTTTATCTGTATTTGAAATAAGAACACAGAAGGACACTGAAAGACCTATAACTGAACTCATTTTCTTTTTCTTTTGTAGACAGCAAGGGAGGGGTCAGACCAACAACTTGAAACTCTTAGCATGGAAAATTCCGAGAAGACAGACGTGGTTCTCCTTGCTTGTGGTTCCTTTAATCCTATTACCAACATGCACCTCAGGTTGTTTGAGCTGGCCAAGGACTACATGAACGGAACCGGTAGGAACAGTCACCAAAGCAAGGATGGGGTTCAGAACACACTACCCCCAAATAAGGGCACCTTGGCATATTGGACATTTTAAGCTGAGGGAGTTGGAGGAAATGGCAGAATCAGGAAGATTCCTCTGACCTCCTCCCCACCCTTCTCCCCTGAAGCTGGTCATAAAACTCTTAAGTAAGAGGTGCCCTCTGTACCCAGAGGAAAGGAGCACCCTAATCTCTTAAGACAAGGGTGCCAAGAGGAATCCGAACAAATGGGTCTGGTTCAAGTCCCCCTTATTTATTACACTTACTGCATGGTCTTTGCCCCGTCACGTTTCTCCACTACTGTCCACTCTTCCTTTATCAGACATAGCATTACATTACTCAGGTTTAACTGTCGCCTTATGAAGGCTGCTGTGTCCTGTAAACCTTACATTAAATAAATGTGTATGCTTTTTTCCTATTAATCTGTCTTAGTTTAATTTTCAGATCCAGCCAGGGACTCTTCAGAAGGTCGAGGAAAACTTTTTCCTTCCCTACATTCACAAGATTTATTTTGTCGTGTTACATAAGTGATCATACTATATTCTAGTATGGATAGACAGAAGGATGGGTGCTCAGACTCACTAATAATCCTAATAATACGGGAACTAAAACAAAAAATGAGCTATATTTTGCCCATTACATGAACAAAATTTTAAAAAATTAATAGTGTTAAGTACCGGAGATTGGAGAGAAATGAGCTCTTATTTACACTCTAGGTGGACAATACAAATTGATTAAGGCTTTGTACAAGGCAGTTCGGCAATATTAATCAATTTACACTGTGTAGGGGGCTACGGGGTCAGTATTTAATGGGGACAGAGTTTCAGGTCGGGAGTGACGAAGTCCTGGAGACGGATGGTGGTGGTGGTTGCACAACAAAGTGTATGTACTTAATGCCATTGAATTGTATTCTTCAAATGATCAATTTTTTTTTTCTTTAGGGTTAGGGTTAGGGACCCAAATGATCAATTTTATGTTATGTCTTATTTACCACAATGATGAATGAATGAACCTGAATCCCTGTTTAAAAAAAGGAGGGGGGGAATCTTTATTTTTACAATCATATTGATGATAACATTTCCTGTGAATAAAATCTAATTTGTTATACCTCATATCAAATCTAACTCTTTATGCAGGAAAATACAGAGTTATCAAAGGCATAATTTCTCCTGTCTGCGATGCGTATAAGAAGAAAGGACTCATCTCTGCCCATCACCGCATTATCATGGCGGAACTTGCCACCAAGAATTCAGAATGGGTGGAGGTGGACACATGGGAAAGCCTTCAGAAGGACTGGGTAGAGACCGCCAAGGTGCTAAGGTATTTATGGTGAAGTCAGCTTTGTCAGCTCCCTGAAAACGGGGTGGGGGCTTCCTTGGCTCTTCACCGCGTTTCAGTGCTGCCTGTGTCTGTGAACATACAGGTTCACAAAACCATCCCTAGAGTTGCAAAGGCCTAGGCTGTGCCATTCCTGTGGGAGGTTATTACACTGTCGTGGAGCACAGCGGCGGGACATGGGGGCTCCGTAGCCTTTCTGTCTTTCATTGTGCTTTGAGGTGTTCACATGCTTGTTACCATGCATATCTCTGATAGGGAATGTATACATAAAGAAGTCTGCCTGGGCTGTCTGTGGCCCAGGTGAGGCAGGCAAAGTTGTAAGATGATGTCATTGTCATCCATCTTCGGTATAAAAGAGAGGCAGGTAATTTAAAGGAGAGAGGCTGTAATGCTTGATAGTGGACAGACCTATTTTTGTGTGCTGCTTCCGTGACAGCATTTGGACGTTGTCACAAATCTCTGTGTTCATGCCTTTGAGACAGGTCCAAGAGTTCAGAAACCGGAGTGAGTAATATCAAGTTTTGACTTAGTATTGTCTTAAGTATAAAATAAAAGTGCTTTCTGGAAAAGCTTTCTGTCTAAAATACGTTTTTAGAGTTCTGAACCTTGTGGTTCTGACCGTATCAGTTAGGGTTCAAATAAGAAACAGAAACCACTCTGAGTATTTGAAGCGGAAAGGGACTTAGGTGCTTATGCAAATATGTTAAAGGGGAAGGAGGAATGAGAGCCAGCGCTTGTTCAAGGTCGTGCCTCCTTAGCTGCAGTCGGAGTCCAGGAAACGGGTCCTGCCTCTGCTGCCACCATTGCTGCCACCGACCCGTTCCAGTCTCCTGAAGTTGGTGACCGGACAAAGGAATATAGAGTCTGGCCACCACGCTCATGTTGTACAATTACTGGTCAGGCCTCACAGCTGCAGACAGATGGCCTCTGCCTCCCTCCTTCCTTCCAAACCTCTCACTAGTGAATCCCCTCAGCAGTCTCACTCGCATCCAGGACCGTTCCGAGGACCTCTGGGAAGTGTGTTTAGGGTAGAATTGGACACGAGCCAGCAGACGATATCTAGCACAGAGACTTATCAAGAGGACTTAACTGTTCAGGCATGGCAGGAAGAAGAGTCTCCTGTCAGACACCAGGCTCCTATGTCCTCACCTTCCCCAACACTCTCTGGCTTCATGGTCATCTGTCCATTTCATATTCAACTCAGCTATTCAAGAGGGAAAGGATTTAGAGGCACGGAGGACCCAGAATTGGCACCCACGAGGGTAGCTCATGTCACTTCATTTACTTTGCAGTTATGAAGCAGTGGGCATCCTGATCATTTGACCAGCCCAGAATAAAAGCATACCAGATCCTGCGTGCGGCCCCTCTTTAGGCCTCAGGCTCTGCCCCCCCCACACTCCCCCTAGGACCTTATCCTTGGCATTGTGGTTATCCAGTACCAGGTCAAGCCATACTCTTCCGTGGTCCAGAGTGGGGGCTCTGGAACCAGACTGCTGAGGTTCAAATCCTGGCTGTTTCTTACAAGCTAAATGACCTTGGGCAAATTAGCATCCTCTCTCAATGGGGATAATAAACAATTCTGATGGAAAGGTGGCAATAATGTAGTTGCTTTATAATACCCAAATATTCACTCTCTCAGGTTAGTGAATGCCTCCCATGTCCAGGGACTCTGCTAGGAGCTGTAGTTGGCACTCTAAGCCTTCACTTCCTTTCCACTATGGGGATAATAATATTTATGACATGGGCTATTGAGAACATTTAATCACATAAATGCAAAAGATTTAATGTAGTACCTGGCCCGTAATAAATCATTAATGTTAACACTTGTTGTTATGACACAGATACATAAAGCTTAGAATAGTAGTAGCTACCATCTGTTGTGTTCCCGGGATTTTCCTTGCTTTCCGTTCCCAGTAGTCAGGACCCAGGACTGCAGTGCACTGGCCAGCGTCAGGACCCAGGACTGCAGTGCACTGGCCAGTGTCCGTTCTGACCCAGCAGGACTGTGTCCTGTCAGCAGCCATTCCACCTGGTTGGGTAGCGTGTGTACCTGTGGTTAAATGTTTTTTATATCACCCCACCTTTAACATTGGCTGCTTTTAAGCATCTCCAGAGGGACAATTTTTTAGTTGAGCATTGTGAGAAAGAAGAATGTTCTGTTGCTTTGTTGTTTTATAGATACCATCAAAAGAAACTGGAGGCTAGTAGTTATTATCACCAGCAGGACTCACCTGTGCTGGAAAGGCCTGGACGGAAGAGGAAGTGGACAGAATATAGTCAGAAAAAATACCCAGAGCAAAAAACAAAAGGTCTGTATGCTTTACAAGGACTCACTGACCAGTGTTGATAAGGTTCTAGCACTGAGCAAGCCCCCTTTGTGTTTTTTATTTTCTGTTCAGTGTGTGTGGGTGCCTGTGAAATACCCCTCGCGAGTTTTATGATGGGAGGGAGGGAGGGAAAAAGGGAGGGAGGGAGGGAGGGAGGAAGGAAGGAAGGAAGGAAGGAAGGAAGGAAGGAAGGAAGGAAGGAAGG